GGCGCTCTGACGGTGAATGCGAGCGGTGACAGTCGGTCAGCACAAATGAAGGCTGCACAGCCAACAGCCAGCTCACAATAGATGGACTTCTTTACAGTTGTAAAAATGTGTCCTGCCGCCCTTGGCCTGTGGCACTTTTCTACTTCCCCTTATGAGACAGTGAACAAGAGACTTCCCTCTTCACATCACCGCAAACACACCGTTCGACTGCTGCAGACTTTTCTCACTCCTCAGCCAAAAGGTGCGACCTGGAACCATTTCTAGTCCCACAAAGCAGCAATTCTTTAAAAACACTAAAGATGCCTGCATAACCATCATAGAAATAGCTTCTTTATTCACCTTATATTAAACTGATCAAAAATAGACTCTGTAAGGACACATTTTCAAGGTTCCTTGTGGACTTGATAAGCATTTAAGTAATTTTCCAGCATAAAAGTCAAACGTAAGAATTTGCAGCATTCCTGAGTTTTGCTTTATAACAACTTCAGAATGGTTTTTAGACTCTCTATCAGACAGGAAAACAGATTAGAAGCTGACAGTTTGGGATTTAGGAAGTGATAAAGAGCGTTTCTCACGGTCGTCTCATGTTTTATAGATCAAATGATTAATCGGTTAATGGAGAACAAAATCTGCAGTAATAATAATAATCGTCTTTAGTTGTAATTCTAATTGAATGATATTACTTGCCTACAGAGAACTCCCTGGATGGTTCTCTTTGAAAACCTTTAAAAAACGAAATGGCTTCTTTCGGCACCATAGTTAGTGCAAATGGCAAAAATAGGTTCCTGAAGGACCTATTTTCCAGATTGTTCCATAAAAGGACTTTTGATAATAGGAGTTAAAAGCTGTTTAAGTAATTTTCAAGCAAAAAAAAGTCAAACGTAAGCGTCTGCCGCTTTTTGTGGGGTCACGTCCATTATAACACATTTAATATTTTGGGTTCTGGGCTGTTGTTCAGACAGAACAACTTATTACAAGACGCCAACTTTGTATTTGAAACTTCAAAGGGCATTTTTCTGATGTTTTACAGACCAACTGTCTAATCAGTCAATTTAGAAAAGAATTCTCTTGCAACTCTAATTATTACGTGCAGTGAAATAAAGCCAGTAAAAAGGAAGAACCTTTAGTAGTCTGACAAACCACATGAAGGACGTAAAGAACATCCTCTAAATAAAGGTTCTTCAATTGGGTGTTTGAAGAACTAGACAGCCTTTAGAAGAACTGTTGCTTTTCTCAGATCTGTACCTGATCTGATTCAAAACACCAGCAGACCAGAGGAAGAAACAGAGATGAGTTGTTTTCTCAGTCAATCAATAGGTTGTTCAAAGTCTATTATCCTCAAGTTTCTTGTTTCGTCTTAACAGTGGTCAGAAACCCGATGAGACTCAGAGACTCAGACATGGGACCTGAATCATTGCTGTTCAATCAGTCTGTTCAAGTGACGACATCCTGCATTCAGACAGATCATTTTTGTGTTAACGTTCCTCATGGCTTCATTTAGACATACCCGCTTCATCTTGCACATTCTCAAGCAAAATACGTGTACATTCCTGCATCATGTAAATATTTCTTTTACTTTTTCTGACTTTATAACTACTTGGATTACAGCACTTGCAGTTTATTTCACATGGGACACCTGCTTCTTGTTGTTGTCCTTCTTTGAAAATGTTCTGCTTGTCACTCAGTTCTGTGATTCTGGACAGTGACAGAGAGCCACCGTACACATGCAATATATATCAGACTGTACATCAAGTGATATTTAATGCATAAAAATGCACTAATATACAAAATACTACATTTAAATCTGCTGTGTAACAAATGATTAGACTTCACTAATGAACTGTGTGTAGCAGCCCACTAGTCTGACGGGAGGAAAAGTCCACACTGTGACTTCTTGTTGGATCCTAATTAATCCTGTCTCCATGTCAGGGACAATTTACAATTATCAGTCATTAATTAAGTCACTTCTGTTGTTCAATGTGAACAAATAGAACTCACTTTGGAGATGTTCACATGGATCCTGCTGCTGTTTCTGCAGTTAGACCGTGTGAAACTCAGAGGAACAGCTCCTACAAACACTGATTGCCTGCCCATTAATACGACTGCATGCGGTTCAGACTTGTGCTGTGTTAACAGAAGCGTTACTAGTCCCAACCTAGTGAGATTAAAACTTTTAAGTAACGGGTGCTCATTCAGACATGAAGCCGACACGTTCAGATGCTGTCGGGTAATTGGAAAGGAGTGCACGTCTAAAGCGGGAGATAGAAAGCAATGAAAACCAGCTAGTAATCACATTTGAGAAGCTGGGACCACGGATTTATTTGCTTAAATGATGACCTAACGGGGAACCTGCTCCTGGAGCGCCACTACATATGTTGTATAAAGCCCTTTGTGGCTCCGGAGGGAGCTGCATGAAATCCGATAAACTGCCTCACTTGAGTCAGCGCTGGTTGTGTCTGCAGACTACAAATAGGTTGGGGAAGCATGAGATTACCACACCTCTGCAGCCACTCCTTATGTCTGCTCCAGGCTGGCAGCTCCAGGCTGTAATCTCTGAACTAACTGTTGGTGGTTTGAGCCGCACCGTGCTCCTTCTTTTGCTTTCGCTCAATACGAGCAGCAGAGACAGGCGGGAAACGAGGGGTAATGCTGTGGTGGAGTGACATGCAGTCACAGTCCAGCCACCCAAGGATCCAAGTGGAGACTCGGTGTTGATGGCATTTGCGTCCATGTGGTTTGCAGCCAAACCACTTGAGTATCAGATTGTCCAGCAGACGACGTGTTTTCGACCAACGAGAAATGAAAGAGTCTATTTCTGGTTCTGCTGCATTGACTTTAATCCTCTTTTTTTAAAACGGCCTAACAATGTCGTTGGACAGCAGCGCCAAATCAGTCGGACCAGGCTGCATGGGCTAAAAAAACAAAACCTGCTGCCATTGTGAGGAGGTTTGCGAGTGTGGCTCATTCAATGACGTGGCTGCCTTTTTATGCTATTAAAAAGAATCGGATGCAGCATTTGTTGCGCTTCATTTTTGTCGAACCAAATTTGGTTGAGCTGTTGCCGAGAATTTTTCACAGGTTCAACAACATCAGTGTCACTGACTCACTGTTTTAAGGCTGTTATGTACTCCACAATTTACTATTTTGATTACAGAAGAAATAAAAATGGCAGTTTTTTTGCTGCAAGGGTGATTAAAATGCAGAGACTTATGGTCTTTCAAAATAAGAGTCTCTAATTCACAGATATTATTATAGATATTCCTTTTGCCGTACAGATGTGGATCTGTTACAGACTGAAGTGAGACTTAAAGGGTTAATCCGCCAACTTCCCCTCTAACACAAACTGCAAATAATTAAATAAATAAAACACTAATTAGACTTTCTAATAATATATGCAGCGATTTGGCAGCTTAGCAGAAATAGAAAATACTCATGTTTACACCAGCGTTTGCGGCTTCTTGTTCTTTTTTCTTTTTGTATTCGCATAGTCAACTTGTAACTGTGGGTGGTGCATTCACAGTTTCGGCAAAACACAATCAATCTCATGTAAGAGGAAATCATGAGATGTCTACCACAGGGTTTTTTCTAAAAGTGTTGTGAGACTAGCTGCTCACCAATGACGACTACAATCGTTCAGCCTTCTAGACACACACAAAACTAAAATGTATTTGTGAAGGCGATACTTGAATATAAGTGAATGAATTACAATAAAAGTGGCTGAGAAATGACCGCAATTGTAATAGTCAGCTCTCAGAGATCTTGGTTCCATTATTTTATTACTTCCTCGGGTTGCATTGACCCTTAGAGCCCGACGGGTGCACTTTGTGTCCAAATTCAGTTTCCGTCTTCTCAGTTAATTTTCAGTTTTTTTTGCAGCGAGGTGTTGCTTGTGCTAAACGACACGGCACAACTTGACCTTTGCGCGTCGATACTGGTCGCTTGTCTGAGTGATAAAAGTGTAGGTGAAGAAAATTATTTTCAAACATCTGCCACCTCTGCAAGTATGGCAACAGTTCACTGTATAAAATCACATTTATTTCCATTAGGTGCTCATATTTTTCTCCATTTCTAATTTCATACAGCATCACCCCATCGTGGTTCTGATATTACCAGATGCCAGATATTTCCCCCCCCCAAACACAAAAAGGAAAATATATCTACTGGCAGCATGTCATGGTGAGATACAAACATAGCAATTTCATAATATAGTTTTTCCCCATGATACAGAGGCCAATATAAACAATCTAAGACTTTTATTATATTAAATGATGGAAGATCTTGAGACTATTTTGACGAACACAGGATACAGCATGCATAGCCAGCCCCTATAATGGGCAAGATAAGAAGCTCAAAGAGTTAAACAGACAACGCTGCAATCATGACCAGGACAGCTTTATGGTAATATGGTAGGTCTGTGGTAAAACAGACATTCCCCGCTTGCTATTTCACAAGTACTTTGACGCTAAATCTGGGCACAAATTAAAATGAGTCCATAAACATAACAAATGCAGCCGCTTCCCACGTGGGAATGAAGGTTTGATGAGCAGGAGAATTATGTAAATCATATGCTGCACAGATCTGCACTCCACCGCCGACAAGAAAACTCTACACTGTACGGGAATGTTAACAACATGCTTTGTGTGCCGTTCCAAAGAGAGCAAATGTCTTACAGTGCTGCCGCTGGTTAAAAATGCAACCAGCTCATCAGAGGGAGGGCGTGAAATATTTTTGGTTTCCTGGAGACTCATTAAATCTTAATTTGAAAACGATTCCGACCACGAATTCAGCTTTAAACCGACTGTGTTCCTAATTCTAATCTTAGTTTTAAATCGTGTTACAACACAGCAGCTCTGAAAGGGTTTGCAAACTTGAACCTGTTTTCGTGCACCAAAATAGGAGAGGAAACACACAAACCACAACTACTCTGCTGCTATTTCTGGAGCACCTCTTGTGGGTTCATGAAGTCTGTAAGAAGGGGGGGCGTGTTTGTAATTACTCACCCTGACAAAGTTATCCGGGAACAGCCCCCTGCGTCCGCCCAGCTCGCCCTCCCACCATCCTCCATCGTCCCGCCGTATGTTCACGATGATGTCGCCCACCGTCAGGCTCAACTCATCGTCCTGCTGAGCCTCATAGTCGAACTCCACCACGGCCTCCACTGAGGGCGAGAAGAGACACAGTCGGCGGGGTTACGACAAGCCGGCAGCGGAAAAAGGTCAAACGCTGCAGATGCGCCACCTTGTTGGGTTTTGTCCTCTCTGGCGCGGTGCAATTTTTTTCATTCTGATGATTGTGCAGGTTTTATTTATTGATTCGAAGGGAAGTGAAAGAAGGAACAAACGCGACCCATTGAATTTTACATCAGAACACTGTTGCACACTCTGGCAGAGAAACGCTTGCTAATTAAAGGTGTCCTTGTAAACAAACCACAGTGTGTGTGTGTGAGTCGCTGGAGCGCCAACAAACGCCGACTGCCAATCCAAGTCGATTTTAAACCTTTTAAAAACCTGCACCGTTTGTATCCACGCTTGCTGACTCGTATTCTTTGCCTTTGTTTGCCAACAGCTACTTCCCTCTCCTCTACCTGTCCTTGTCACCGATCCCTCGCTAAAAGTATTTACTTTAGAGCAGGTTTCCTTTCACATATTCGTGCATCAAGTTGCGAGACGCCCGTTATCTCTGCAATGTTGGAGGCTGCAGGAAAAATGACTCAACCCGTAAAATGTTCACTGGCATACTGTAAATAAGTGGCTTACCACATGCTAAGGGTTGTGCTCTTTTTAAGCCACAAGACGAAAATGTAGCAGCTAACCCACTTGCAAAGTGCAGCGGAAAGTAGTGACTTTTCACTTTTGCCAAAAATATGCACTGAATGCAAACAATCTGAGGACATTTCAGCCTGGAAATACCCATTAGTGGGTCTGCTGCGGCTCTGGGGGTCAAACTGATACCGCCTTCTCCGCCTCCGTTGTAGAGATTGAGAAGAAATAATGATTTTAAACATTTGCTTTTAGGTTGACAAAGGAAACATGGAATTTAGCCTCTAAAACAGCCATTTTGGATGTCAATCAGCGACAACCTGCCATGTGTGATTGTCTGGAAAGCTTAACACAACAGCAGATTACACCGTAAACCGTTATGAAGACAGTCGCAGGTTAACGTTTGTTTGAAAAGAAGGACGACAGGAGGAACTTCAGGAAGCTGGTGGCGTTCCTGCTCAGGTGCCTACTGAGGAGGAAACCTGGCTCGTGTTGCCATTCTGAATCTGAAAGTAACAGATTTAAAACATGATGGAGTTTTTTTTGTTGGCCTTTTTGCCTTTATTTGACAGGACAGTAGAGAGAGAAAGACAGGAAAGTGGGGAGAAGAATGGGAGGAGGGACCTGCAGCAAATGGGCTGGATTCAAACCCACGACCACTGCATCAGGGACTATAGCCCCAGTACATGGGTCACCAGCTCAACCAGTTGAGCTGCAGCGGCGAAAACATGACGGGGTTTTAACACACGAGACACCATTATTAACACAGTTGGTATGCATTTGCAAAACCGCTGACACGTTTAAATCCTGTGACAAAGTAGGTGAGAACTCACGACTTGTCCGCCACATGTTGATTCTGCACAAAGTAAAATATGACGTTTATTATCTGTGCATTTTGCTGCTTTGGTTAAACTGGTTTGGGTTAGCATGATTTTACATTTTACAGGTTGAATGTGGTTAAATTGTTTGTTCTTTTGTTCATTAGTACCTTTTTTTTGTACCTTTATTCAGACTCAGCTTGTAGGTTTATTGTTTAGGAGGCCCACCATTTCCTGGTTATGTGGTCATCTGGACCAGATCAAATGGCTGTGGTTTTTCCTCTTTCTTTAGGAAAGTTTTGTTTGTGTTGAACACATTCTTAAGTAAAGGCTTAGAACACTTGGCTAGAGATGTCTAGAGAGGTTGTGGAAGAGGTCACCAGGCTTTCTAATGGTAGGATTGAATCATACTATACATGCTGTTGGGATTTTGCACCCCGAAGAGAGAGGTACTGCTAAAACATGTGCCATTTGTTCCATTAGATATGGGTGAATTTTGAGTTATGAATGGAGAGCAATGCAAATAAAGTCTTCACCTCTTGGCAATCGAGTCGTCTGCTCGGTCTTTCTTGACCTTTTGGTTAGTCTGCTCTACACTCTGGGTTAGACGTGTTGCAAAACGTAGGAGGTGTGGCTGCTAAATAATGACAAGTCAGTCATAGCACAGTCTGCATGTCTGAACCACGTAGTGATCAATCGGAAGCATAAACAAACCCTGAAAGTTTCAATCTGCTCGTATTAAACAAAATTGAGTTACAGCATCAGTCTCATTATTTGACAGCCACATCTCATATATCCTAAATTGCAGCCTTTGCGGTGAGCTAATTGAATCATTTCATCTTTTTTTTTTTTTTGATTTGAAGGCAATCAATTCTTCAGCCCTATCGTCCATGGATGACGGTATTCCCTGTAGAACTACAACTAATGAATCCACACTGCTGTTCCGGAGATGTGTTTCATTTCCTCAAATTCAACGGGAAGAAAAGACCGGCCGGACCACACACTCGGCTCTCTAGTTATTTCAGGCAGTAACAAGTCATTTTTTTTGTCCTAGATATCTCATCTGTTGCGACCTCTCCAGCAAGAACACGCAGAACTGAAAGCTATACACGGTCGAATATGTAAACAAACAAGCGTGCACAAATGAATAAACCATTCATCCAGCCACCTGGCGAGCCGTCCCTCAACAAAATGTCCTTCGGGGCTTATTTTTGTGTTTGCTTTCAGTCAGACGAAAATAAAAAAAAAGTTTAAAATCATTCATGTAAAAATCACGCTTTAGGAACGCTTGTGTGATTCCAGTTTTTCCCTGAATGTCTGCAACGCAGGTAGTACAAAGTCAGCATGACGCATACAGCCACAGTAACTGGCTATTGGGAGTTTTAGAGTGCATATACAGATCAAGAACTATCTGTGGCGTGACCCATACCTCCTGTCTGATCTAAAAATGAGCCAAAAGATGGAGCGTACATGGAGCTGAGGCAGGCTATGCAAACATCTTTGGACCATGGACTGCTTTATAAGAACACCCAACTCTTACACAACGCAGCCTCGCACTTAATTCTGCATAACTTTAGGCCTTCATATAGGTAAAAAGGTGAGTTATACAAATAGCCACCACTCATACAGCTGTCATGAACAGGAAATGTAGCTATAGGGACCAAAGCTGGTTTTGCACCAGGTTGTAAATGTGTTTATTTCTATTGTAAAGTTGGACATTTTAACATGGGGGTCTATGGGGATTGACTCACTTTTGGTAACTGCCTCAAGTGGCCATTCAAGGAACTGCAGATAGTCAAATTAAACTAGAATTACTTTAGTGTGTTTCGATCTTTACTTTTGTTTGCGTCTTTGTGTCATGCCAGCGACCATGAACACCATAGAAGTACCTTTACATCAACTCAGTTCTTTGGCTGTCCTTCAAATACCTCCGATGAAAGTTCCTGCAGATGACTCAGAGGGATTATTCAGTTTGAGTCACTGGAGGAGATTTAATACGAGATACGGGAATGATTGTTAAACACTGATCTTTTTTTTTTTAAATGGCAAAGTAGACGTGATAGGTATTAACCAACTGAGTCAAATCAGCAGGCGGGTAGAACTGGTGCTGTGGAGGTGTACATTATGTTGGGCTTTTAAAGACTATGGTCAGCGTTAATTAAATATGATTAATACATGACTGATAGTAGCAGGGAAATCAGTAATTAGTGTCAAAGTGAATGCCTTGAGCTGAACAACCACTACTTAATGAAATGCATACAAAAACACATGCAAACACATTTTCTGCCGCTTTCCTCCAAACATCACACACTAAGAATCGCACTTTCACGTACACACACACACATATATATATATACCTTGTGACTTGCTTTTGCGGCTGCTAATGCTTGTAAAAATGTACTGAATGTGTCATATCACATATAGCTTTCTTAACGCCAACCCTCGGCACGCACGCACACACACACATACCGGCCGCCGAGGCCTGATCCTTGTCTAAACTGTGCGGGCAGCTGACGGCGGGGATGCAGTGGGGGGAGTTTCGGGATTGGGTAACCATGGGAACAACAGCATAAAGGGGTAGGTATGACTCAGACACAGTGGCCTCCTTCCCCCCCCCCGAAACTCCTTCACACATGTATACAATATTAAATGCACAACATGGTGACACTAGGCAGAACCAACCACTTCTTGTGCGCTAAAGTGGAAGGTCAGAGCGTCGCTGGGAGTTTACATCACGGGCCGAGGAAGCCTCGCGCAAGACATCAAAACAGACAAAGCAGATGACTGTAGTCCAAGTTGGCCTGCTGCTCAGATGGCGAGGATACGACGCTGGCATCAGATAACGACGGAGATTAGTCGCAGCCGAGACAGCGACGTGGCACAAATGCCATTTTCCTCTTTTTGCTCTCGGGTTGCGATGTCCGTGGGGAAGCGGCGGACACCCTGGGAGCGGAAAAGGGGGGAAGGTTCTGCAGCAAGAAGTGCACACGGGTGAACTGATGGCTTGTGGCAGTTATCTCGCAAACTACATTACAGTACATCTGAGTGGCAGAACGGGACGACACACTGCAGTCCGCCCACCCACCCACGTCCGTCAGCGACACATGCACTACTGAAGAGCACGACAGCTTGTGGCTCCGCACATCACCGAGTGCAAAGACGGGTGCAAGTTAAAAGTGACACAATGTTAATGCCAAAGAGGAGTTCTGTCTCGTGTGAAGCAATGCAGAAAGAGCCGAGTCCCCTGGTTCTGATTTTACACGGCAAACAGTCTCGGTTTTTATTGCCTGCGTGATGTACAGCACAGCACGACAGCATCAGAGGTGGAAAGTACATTTACTCAAGTGCGATCTGAGATACTTGCACAGGATTTACCGAAAGCATCTCTAATTTATGCAGCTATACGCATACCGACGTCCCTGCAGAACCTCTCTGATGCAGTGCACAGGCTGGGATTTAAAGACGCACTAATTAGAAAGATACAATTAAACCTTTTGCAACGGGGAAGCTCTTTAAAATGTTTTTTATCTGCTGCACAAAACAACTTGTGCACGTAGCTCATGATGTTCTACAGAAATCTACTTTTGTCAACCTTGGAGGCCTCCAGAACTTTACACTCTGAAAGGTGCCACTTTGCATAATAAGTAGACAGTATAGGTGCAAAGCTGCCATACAGCAAGAAAATCTGACAGATGTGAAATGCTCTGCAGAGCTCTGTTTGCACATTTTCATGCTTTTATTTTCAAGAGTAAGTGCGGTAATATTCCCAATTTTTCTTCTTGTCAAGTAATCCCATGAAAACACCAGTATCGTCCAAGTATTTCATGCTCATCGCCTGCCGTCATTATTGTCCAATTAAAGGCACGTCACTGAGCCACAGTGTTGCACAGGACGGCATCCTGCTCCAGTGCCATCAACACACTCCGAAGTTTATTTTGACTAAATCCCTCACACACCGTCCTGCTGCTGTCAACACTTGCGCGCTAAATCTGCAGCAGAAAATAGTCCAAGAAATCTGTTATTTACTCTTGTCTGAGTGAAACGTGATTGATTTTGGTCTTCAGTAGGATTTGCTGACAATAATGAAAACCAAAGACAGGCTGCAGCAGATGAACCCTAGTAATAGTTTATACACTTTCACCTGCTTTGACCTGGAAAGCACCAGAACTTAACTCCATATTTAGCCTCGATCCCTGTGTGCAGGATCGACATACCAAGAACTTGTTTAAAATGCCATCGCTGGCTTGTGAACGCAACATTAAGATACAAATCACATGTGATTCCACGTGAACGGAGATTGCATCTAACTGTTAAGACGATTAGCCCCTTTTTAGCTCGCATTTCTGTAGCTATGAAGCTAAATAAGTCAAACGTGTAGCAGTTAAAGACATGTTTTTCCTCAGGAGTTGATGGTAAATACCACAGATCGAGAGGAAAATGAATAATGTGCGCATGTTAATCAGGTGAACAAAAGCAAAACTCCAAAGTAGGCCGCTGTTTGCTAACGCACCAACAGCTGCCTGCTAATGATTGCTAACCCATTTGGATAAAATGTGATTAAGAAAGCAAATACATTTTTTTGTACCCTAACAAAACCTTAAACTGTTCTAGCTCCAATTTTAGCTTCAGTAGGCAAAAACAATTAGCTTAATGTTAGCTACTTCCCTCCCCGAACACATTCAACATAGCTTCACATGCTAACATACAACAACTGCTAACAAGTTTGGCTCAAATACGCGGAAGAAAGCAATCAATACTTTTAATTTAGGACTTTACTAAAACCTGAAAAGCCTGAACAGCCAAAGCTACAATTTAAGCTATGATACTAAAATATAATTAGCATGGTTAAGCCCTTTCCTGATTGCATCATATGCTAACACACTCCAACATGCTAACAAGTTTGAATCATACTATTCAGAAGAATTCACAAATATTGTTTATTTTGGTTCCTAACAAAACATTCAAATAATTTAACAAGCTAGCTGAGCTTTTAGCTTTGAAGGGACAAAATAACAGGCCTAACGTTAGCTTTGTTAGCTTGGCTGCTTCTTTCTACCGATTGCTAACACGTTTCGATCAAACATAAGGACTAAAGCTATCTTGGACCTTACCAAAGCAATAAAATACTTTTACAAGTTTAGCTGGTATTTTAGTAGTTTAAACTTTAACAGTTTTTAGCAGGGCTGCACAATTAAGTGAATATTTAGCGCAACTTTAATTTTAGCTTCCGACAATCCCATGAACATGATCAACCGCAATACCGGTGTTTGAAATGCTACGCTATGAGACAACAACCCATGCAGATAAAAAAAAATGTCTTTTTTTTCCAATTTGGGCAGCACTGCTTGTTTTTTTTTGTTGTTGTTCTTGTTTTTATAACAGTACTGGCATTCAAGTATCCAAATGAGCCAGAGTTTCTTTCGGTTTGTGGCAGAATGATAATGAGGTGCGGCCAGCCCATTCTATCTTGCAAGACTAAGAAAACACGTTATTTCACTGTTTCCGAAGCAATTTTTAGTCGCACACCTGTCTGAGTGTGGTACAGGTAAGTGGGGAGACTTGAGGCTATCAATAAGCAGACGTTCACCAAGTTATTTTGGTTACATTCATATTTCAGTTGTAGGAGATTAATTCAGGTGTGGAAGAAATCTTATATTGATGCAAAGATTTGTACATTAGCATCTAAATGGGCGGTCCTCTACCTGTAAGTGAAAGTGAAAGCAGCATCCTGTTTATTCAAAAGTAAAAGCCCAACAAAAACAGTGTTTTTTAAAAATCTATAAGTAATTGTTACAAATAATCGCGATCTCGATATTGATCAAAATAGCGTGATTAGCATTTTGGCGATAATCGTGCAGCCTAACTGTTAGCTTTTCAAGAATTCAGTCTACGAATACATGGCTATTTTATGGAAATGCAATTTACAGAGAAGTAGAGCAACATGCAACTTGTTAGAAAGATACAGAGCTACAGTGGTTAGTAAACTAAAACAGAATAATTCTGCAAATTTAAGCAAAAATGCAAAATACTGGCTGCACCCAGCTTCTTAAATGTCAGGATTTGCAGCTCACTTGTATCACAAACGGCAGTAAATGAATCACCGGTTTGGGCTTTGGGAAGTTAACTTCACTACTTCTCACACACTAAACGGTTAATCAGTAACTGCAGCCCCTCTCACTTACACTTGTACACTCATGTTTGTGGTAATGCACCGTTTCTACGAGGCCAAAAAAGACATAGAGGAGGCCTTGAGAAGACGAGAGGCCGAATATCTCGACGCCTGCAGACAAAAGCACAAACTCCCACTCAAGTGGTCAAAAAAAAAAAAAAAAAACACACTCGAACAGGAACTGAGACGGGCCCGTAGCGTCCTCTCAACAGCTGCGTCAAGTTTAGATAAGGGGAAGCTACACATTCAGAGCTCCGCAAAGCCGCGCTGACATTTCGCTAGTTTACAGCCGACCCGTGTTTAGTTGTGGGTGAGTCTCAGCTCTGCCGTCGCTGATGATGTCAAGAGCAGCTGTGTGTTTCTGTCTGTAAAACATTCGCTCTGGACCGGAGCCCACTGGGAGTCCAAGCCACCCACTCCAACTGTGGATCGGATCTCAGGCTTCAGCAGATTCTCCCACATTAAAGGAAAAATTCCAGCCATTCTCTGCTCGTCGCTCCGCGGCTTGCGACAAAGTCCGCTGTATTCCCTCAACTCGCGTTATCTATTTCGAATTCTCGCCGAGTCCCAGAACGCCCGGTGACGAGAGGAAGAGCTCGACGGGTTCGTCTTCGGGGCTTTGAGTGTAGGTGGGGAGAGCGATGCTGGCGGAGAAAGCGAGAAGGAGAGCGAAGGTTTTTTTTTTTTTTTTCAGTTTCGCATGAGAAAAGTGAAACATTGTTTGGCTACGCAATAAAGGAACTGCTGCTTTCACACGTGTAGCTGTTGAATATATATGCGAGAAATGGAAAGTTTTGAAAGCCTCGTCTTTATATGTGAGGTCACAGTCGAGTGTCTTCTTGAAATCTGCAGCAGCGACAGAATTACAGAAATAAGGACTAAAACAGCTAAATGCATTGACCCAATCTGTACTGCCCAGCTTTTGCAGGAGAGGTCAACGTAAAATGACCTTTAAGGTGCGTTTAAGGACCATTGGAATTTCCATTTTGGCTAACTTTGCAGGAAAACAGTGCATATTCAGATACTATTTTACACTAACTGAATCAAAGCAGCCTGTAGAAGCAGGGAATGAGGGGATTTAGGTGCACTGACATATGATGAAGTTTCCCTCTGAGGACAGCCATGCATCCTTTGTTTACATGCATCCAGCAGAAAGCCTGCACGCAAATCCAAGGAGAGGGGCTGCAACTAATGAACATCCTAATGACTGGAACTCCTCTGCAGAGACATGGGATGTCTCATAAGGTCAGAAGATATAAAAGTAACACGCGAGGAGAAAAGGAAGTCAAACCTCCAGCTTTGCATGCATTCTCTGACAACCGGCACGTTTGCAAACCCACTTGACTGATTGATTGATTACTGGAGCAGCGGATCTGCAACCAATTAATAGCCATGCATTGTGTTCAGCAGCAGCAGCAGCAGCAGCAGAGCGGTGTCGTGGGAAATGATGGCGAAGATGAGAACAGTCAGGCCTGTTTCGTCCACAGAGGCGGAGAGCTGGAGAGAGCCAAACACTGTGCAACACAATGGGGCACACACACACACACACACACACACACACACACACACACACACACACACAGAGTGAATGTAAACGTGTCAACATCTGCAACTCATCAATGTGACCCGCCGCTTTTTTTTTTTTTCCTGAAATCGCAAAAATCAAACCCTGCGCGGCCGAGCTGCACACCCACGCGTGGCTTCTTCTTCTTCTCTGTTTTTTTATTCTCTCTCTTCTGAATCATGAATAAAGCATCGGAAATGCGCGACAGAAGCCTGCGGTATCTTCTTCCAAACAGCCCCGCTATGCGTGAAGGGGAGGTGAGGTGAGGAGCGCGGAGAGGGGAGGGGAGGGGAGGGAAGGAGAGAGAGAGGCTGCGCGCATCTGGACCGGGCGTTGATTCATCCAGATGCGCAGAGGCGCTGGAGGCTATTTTAGGTCTTTTCTCCAAATTGGAAGCAAACGAAAACAGAAGAAAAGAAGAGAAAAAAAAGGGGGGAGAGAAAAAAAAGGGGGCGTCGCATCTCACCCATTTATGTGTCCCGGTGTGCTGGCAGTGCTCCTGGAGGCTGGTCGGTCGCAGGGAAGGGAGCTTGTCTCAGGTACAGAGAGGGGGTTTTGCGCCGGACTGAGCCCCAGCCTCCTGCTCCGTACTACAGATCCGCTGAAACGGGAGGAGCGTCAGACGAAACCATATTCCTTCCTCTTTTTTCCCTCTCTCTCTCTCTCTCTCTCTCTCTCTCTCTCTCTCTCTGGTGACACGGCAGAGGAGGCAGAGCGAGTGGCCAGAAAACGGAAAAGCGCTGATGATCAAATCTCTCTCTCCTTTCTCTCTCTCGCTCTGGCTCGCTCTCCCTTTTGGTGCCTTCAAGTGCGCCGCGTAAACTCCGGCTTCCCCATTTTCGATTCCGTGAGCGCGCCGTGACGCAATGTGTCGCACCACGCGTGATGCGCTCCGGACAGATGGCGGTGACACAAACACTGTGTTCTGGGACAGGAAATCTCACTGCTCCATATGAGCTGCTGTAGCATGCGCCGGAAAGTTGAGCACGGTCATTCGAGTTCAAATATTTGAGTAATTTTCAGAAAATCGGATCCCTTCTGTCACCGAGAGCCACAGCTCACACTCCATTCTCTTCTTAGGCTACTTTATTTATAATAATAATTTAAAAAAATATAAATACATGATGCGATTCCATTTCAAAATCTAATATTTGTCTCATTATTTTAACCTTAATATCTAAATTAGTCCAATAAATGTCTACAATGCATATTAAAGGGTCTTAATCTCAAGATTAGTCAAGGAAATGTGCTTTTTATATAACATAGTTGGCTCTTAACTTAAATTATGCAGGTTAACTTCTATAATAAATACTATTTTATGGTTTAGATTTGATTTAAACTTGTTCGGTAAAACCATGGTTCAACATATGTTGTTTCAAATGTGTCACATAATTAATAGTGACTTAATTTGACATTTTATAATCTCGCTAAATTGTATTTATTGGCAGAGTGTAACAGTACTGAAACTTCAAAACAAATGTGACACTTTCTTTACTCTTTCTGCCTCCATCTCAGGTGAATTTTACCCTTTTTTTTTTAACTTCATTTCTGTTCAAATTTAGATTTTACACACAACACCTGTAGCTATATTTGAGGTTAAATGTTTAACATTATGAAAATGTGTAGAAATTTGTTAAAATTGGCTCCATTCCCACCACTTACACCAGTAAAATATTGCTTAATCATCAGATAGTCTGATGTGTACAGTCAAAATAGGACTTAAAGGACACATTCTGCTGCATAAAGGCTACTTTTAACTTCTTAAATGACATTTTACTTATAATTTCTTACTTTTACTTGAGTAAAACTTTAAATGTAGTCTTCTAATTTTGGTATTTCTACTTTTGCTTGCAAAACATTTGAATAAGTCCATTAATATACTGTTTGTAGCCTACTACTGTTATACTAAGCAGTTCATTTAAATGTGAATTTGATTCGACTCAGTAGTTTCTTTGCCCTCTGGCCTTAAAATATCTCTTTTCTGGGGAAAATTGTCAGTAAACTCCGTATCAGCTGATTCTAATACTTTCTTGTTGGGTAGTTTATGTGAGTTGTACTAATAATGGCAATATTTCCAACAGCCTTTGAAAGCAGCATACGTCTTCGCTCAAAGCCTCGCACCTGTGTAGCCCAAATCTCGCGATAAGCAGCTCTAATGAATGCGAAGCTACCCCAACATCACTGTGAGGGAATTACAGCAGCTTATACTGATATGATCTTAAACTGAGTAATTGATATATTTTACTGTATTGTCAGTGTAATGCTGTGACTAATTGTTTTTCATTCAAAAGTTTTTGTTTTAATTTAAATGATTTAAAATAAATATATTAATAAATCCTCATATACAGAAACACTCCCCATGCTGATGCAGTGCTGTTGCCCCCCTCTGGATCAAACCACATGCAGAGGAGAATGTGCTGGCGGCAGCAGAAAGAGGCCAATGAAATGATGCAGCGATAGCAGAGAGAAAGAGATGAGGAATTTAGATTTGCCCCCCTCCACCCTCCACAATCAGCTGTCACTTGGCTGCAGTACAGTGACAGAACAAGCTGCTGCACACACAAAGAAAATCTGATATGATAAAGTGTAGCGCAGCGCAGAAATGCCATTCAGACGACCGGGGATGGGTTATATTTGTAAATGCATCTCAGGTATCTGTGACGCAAGAGATGCTTGTCTGACCTTGAATGTATCAATGATTTTGTGGACAGTGCTGCAAGTTGATATCTACAGCACAGAGGCTACTGGAGAGTTCACAGCGTGTAGTGGTGTAGTTCCAAAGTGCAGGTGCTGTCAAAAAAACGAGCTCACGTATGTGTAGAAGCCTTTAATTAACCGTCATATTCTGGATTTCTTGTCAAGATTTCGAAGAAAATATTGCCATTAAGTCCCATAATACCCTACTTTATTGTCCATTTTACTCTAAGTGGGGCCAAAATGTCCAAAACGAACATTATGCTGTATTGAAGGAGGCTTAATACTTGCAACTGAGACCATAAACACGTTAGAAAAATGTTGACCGAGGTAACAAATCAAGGGAGAAGTAGCATCATTTTCTCATAGATTTGTATACATCTTTTTGCAACCAGAGAAGTCGCCCCCTGCTGGACATTAGACAGAATGCAAGTTTAACACACTTTCACATTTGTTTCACTTTGCAGACCTCGTTTCCCTGTTATCTCTGTGTACATATGCAAGTCAAGCATATGAGCAGATGCCTATCAGTCCTATAGGGACTTCTGTCGTCTCAGATGTGTTTGTGAAACCTCTGCTTCAGCGAGCACACATCTCAGTTTGCATACCAGCACTGTAACATTGCAAACATGAGGTTGGATATCAAGGAGTTAGTATTTGTTGCAGCTTTACCAAAGAACAGCAAAGATAGTTTCCCGATATGTGAACTTGGGAGATTCTGCAATAGTTTTTTGTAAAGCAAATGACTGAATAGGAAAAGGGTTTGTGTTAAATGTATCCGAAAGAGGACTCTTGGTGTAAGTCAAGAAAATGCCAACACATTTTAAATAATCCGTCAACATTAGGTGCTTTCCAACAGAGAAACAAGATTATTGTGACAAATTTACTTAACAAATTTAAATATTAAAGACTCTAACAATATTTGTGATTACATAAATTTATCAAACCAATTTTAGAATTAATGGCAAAAACCTGCAATAATAAATAATTAGATATTGGCATTAAGTCTTTGCAATGTTTTATACAATTAAAGTTAAATTGACAGATTTCAATATTAAGGTTAAAAAAAACTATGATATTTTATATTCTACCAAATTACCTGACGAATGCAAAGTTAAGGCTAGAGCTTGGAATATTTGCTATTTGCAGAAAGCCCAATAAATCCAAAGAGTCCCAGTGAGCAAAGAGTTTAGGACGAGAGTCTTGATGTCTTTCCAAGAAAAACAAAAAACAAAGAATGAACCACGAAACCTAAACTAAGCAGTCAAACTAAACTCCTGTTCCTAACTTTGCTAAACAAAGGGAATGTTAAGTGAGTTTGTGGGTCAGTTTTAGTGTCTAAGCAGGTAGTAAAACGTGTACCTCCATACTGTTACAACAATCACAAAAACTATAAATCAAATTCAGATGTAGATCTATTTCTCTTTTGTATATCGTCTTATCAAGTTTGCCAAGCAAGCTAACGTGCTACTGTAGCTTCTTATTTAACAGACAGGAATGAGAAAGTGTGACTTTAACTAACTTACTCATGCTTTGAAAACATTAGCTCAGTTATCTTAGCATTAATATGCTAAGCTAATTGTCACCTGGCTCTAAATTGTTAGCTTAGCATAATGATTAGCTAATGATTTAAAAAAAAAAAAAAAACGGAACTGACGTACTCATAATTTGTCAATAGCAAGCGTCAGGCTGCTAACCAGTTCAAGAAAGTAGCTAACCGGCCTTGATTTACTCCAGTAGGACATAAATACAGTTTTGGGGTATGCTACTTCAGTAACCAGTTTCTATTTTAGCATGTTTTGGGTGCAATTATTGTACTTTTTTCTCCATTATATTAATTTAACTGATCTTACACATGAGTAAATTTAGTTTAGCTGCACACATGGTAATACGTCAATGCTAAAAGTCAAACCTTATAACATATCACTGACCAGGGACACTACTTTTGTCCATAGCTCATTGCTATTTAAAGTAAAATAAATGCAGGATTTACCGTCAGCGTGTTGTCATTATTTTACTTAATTGACTACTTCAGTGTTGCGCCTGTATTTCTATTGTCAGTAACACAAGATTGTCGTTTCCTTTGTGCACTGTGGTTGCAGCGGCAAATAAATATCACACGTTTGATCCCACAACAGCCCACAACATGTATTTAACACCAAAGCTCCTGAGTAACATGTGGAGCGGTTCTCAGGCACTGACGTTGTGACAAAAGATCAAACACATCTTTTCTCACTCAGAAAAGATGTAATCTGTGCTGCTGCTGCTTTAAGAAATTGTTTTTTTTAATCATCCAGCGATGCAGGTTCATTTTCTCCAGAGAGGGGAAGTAATTTTAACACAAAGCACTGAGGTGACACCATCTGGGACGGTGCTGCTATTGCACCATGTGCTCGGCCCCAATTACATTTTGCCGCCTCCTGTGGAGTGGAAACACGGTGAGAAGTCTCAGTGTTGCAGACAGTGTTTCCAGCACCGTCATCCCTCCTCTGCATGCATGTGTTTGATGCTGCCCGCGATGTTGCATTTAAGACAATTAAAATGAACTTAAAATGAACATGAGTTGACTGGGGAGACCATTTCCATGATTAATAATATTTTTTAGTGCAGATTTCCATTCCGATTCGTTATTTTATGGGTGTTCTGCTGCTGTGCAATGATTATATTTGTGAACTAATTTCTGTAAGGGTGCTCCTACACAAAGTTCCCCAACGGATAATAACCAAAATCTATCTTGATTTGATAATATATTCATAATCCTCAAGGTTTGCCCACAGTTCACACTTGCTCATTACGAGTCGTTTACTGTCCTATTGCTACTACACTGACTAGCCATGGTAAGCAGCAGGTCTGATATTTATGACAACAATCTCATTTTTACTTTTTCGGTGAGTAACATCTTGCAACAAAGACAGTCTGTAATTTACTTTAGGTTGCATGAGCATAAAGGGAT